ACCTAGCAAGAGAACATGGACACAGAACTTGGCTGGAGATTGTGGCTAGAGATCCTGGCAAGGCTGCTGATCAACTGAACGCTGTCTCCGTGTCATTCCTTCTTCGCTGACTCCGTCCACACCTTTGGGGACCCCTGGACCTGCTGGGGTTGGACCCCAGCAAAAGAGAAACTCTAAAGGTTCCTCTTCCTGATGCATGGAATAAAACCAAATCTTCCCAAAAAGGTAGATCAGATTCAACCCAAAATCATACTATAGCTTAATGTCACTGGACACTTGACAAAAGTCATTCATTATGGTAGTCTCCATCTCTTATGCCAAAATTAGACTCAACTTGTGACTAATCTGATTCAATCTTTAATTTCAGCAAAACAGAATAAGTGTTCAGCAAATACTGCATCCTAACGCTGTCCACTCTTAGCTTACTCATGAACCTGGGAAGAAATGACAAAGCCCCCTTTCACAGTTCACTTTCCCTTACTCAAGTAATCACTTCACTAACTGCTCTTATTTTTCACTACAAAACATTAATAGAATCACAAAGGAAACGTCATTTAATTTTAACCAACACAAAAGTTAGCTTTTGATTTATCAAAGAGGCATTATTTTATATAATTTCCCCCAATGATGCCATTATACTTTAAGGTACAATGATACTATTCACCAACTATAGGTATCAGCTCTTTCAAGGAAGTGAACACATCTCCCAATTCTGATCCTTAAAGCACATGAAGGGAATACTGTAGTCATCAGAATACTTAACAAATATTTCTGAGGTTGGTTTTAAAGGAATTTTAGATATTAGTAATGGAAACTCAAATGCTTATAGTTGAACCTTGAACAACACTGGGGGACGGGGGGAGGGGGTAAGGGACACTGACCCCCACCCATCACACCGACAAAAATACACATATAACTTTTGACTCCCCCAAAACTTAACTACTAAAAGCTTATTGTTGACCAATAACAAATAGTCAATTAACACATATTTTGCATGTTACATGTATTATATATTATATTCTTACAATAAAGAAAATAAAGTTATTAAGAAATTCATAAGAAAGAGAAAATGAATTTATGTATTTATTGAAAAAATCTGCATATAAGTAGATCCACACAGTTCAAACCCATGTTGCTCAAGGGTCAACTGTAATTCTTTTGGAATGTTAAATACACCAAGAATCTTAAGCAACTTTTGATATGTTCACTAGATATAATATATAATGAAAACTAATTTATGATGTAATATTAAATGTAAAATATCTGAATAAAAATTATATATAAAATGTTATTATAAAATATACAAAATGTATTTGTGTAAGTATATCTATTTATTATATAAATTATATGTATCAAGTATATATTATAAATTCATAATTTTATATTTATATAAATGATTTTAAACATATAAACTATTTTAAATTTTTATATATAAAATATAAAAGTATATTTTAAAATTATATTGAAATTATCAGGTTAAAAATTATAAGTGAAATGTAATTACCATTTTTTAAAATATCTATGCAATGTGGAAAAGTCTAGAAGGAAATGCACAGAACAGTATTTGTGTTTAGGTGATGAGACCATGGGTGATATTTTTCTCCATATGCTAAATCTTACTTAAGGGGTATGCACTACTTCTATAAAACTATTTTTTTAAAAGAAAGGAAATAAATAGGAAGAAGCACTGCTTAGAGGTAAGAAAATGGAATAGTTAGAGCAGTTATCATTTAGTAAATGCTATACTTAAACTTTACCTTCTCAAGGAACTCTTTAAGTGGTCATGAATGACGTAATAGAATATTTGTGCTAGGAGGACATGCTGCCTAATTCTGTCATTTGACAGGTTCAGAAAAAAAAAAACTGTAGTTGTATGATGCTTTACAGTTTACAAAGTGCTCAACATATCACATCACCTGTCCCTCAATCCTGTGAGATAGGTTCATGTGCCTGGTTTAAAGATCAGGAAACTGAGGGTTGGAGAAAGAACATCTGCCATTTATCAGTGCTTACTATGTTGGGGTAAGCACAACGATCTGGCGAAAATCATCACCATGTTACAGATAGGAAACTGAAGGGCAGAGGTTAACTGCTCACTATCTTACAGCTGAGAACGCTGCTCCGACTCGACTCCAGGCCACTCACTGAAAACAAGAGTCTTGAGTTACAATCAACTTCCCGGAGTCCGTAGTGGAAGCGTCGGGCCTATGCCCCCGTCTGTGCCCTCTCTACCACACTGGTCTCCTCTACGGTCCCTTTTCGGAGTTACCTAGCTTGCCAGCCACTGTGAAGGTCCACAGGCAAGGTAATAAGGCCCAGCAATACCCCAAAACTAAGGTCGGCGAACCGCCTGCGCCTCAGGAGGAAAGCAAGGTAATGAGTGGCTACAGAATAAGGGTTGGAGGGGGGCGCAAGGCTAGCAAATCTTATATTACGGGGTAGCCAAGGGGAAACCACCTCTGCCGAAGGAGCAAGGATAGCAACAAAAATCACCATTCCTGCCCTTCCACTCGCGTAACTCGGCACAATCTCCAGAGTGCCTGCGGGTTCATCTAGACTTTAGATTCTAAAGGGTCCCCACACCCGTGGGCTGGGCAGGGATTGTCCCCTTGGCCGGAGAAGCTGGAAGACACGCGATAGGGGCCAGGCAGGCCTAAGGCTTCCACAAGAAGATCTTCTGTTCCAAGGATGTGTTGGACCAGCCGGTCTCCAGTGAAGGTGGAGGAGCAGCTGGTGACAAGCGCACAGGGGACACCCGCAGCCATAGCTGCACTCGGGAGCCAGGTGTGTCCAGCAGCCGCTTCCGCCTTGGGCTGCACCACGGCCGCCGGCGCGTGGGGGGGACACGACTGGAAGGACGCGTTCTCTGACTGGCCCGGCGGCCCTGACTCCGCCCTCTCCCCCTCTTCCGCTCCCGGCGTGGGACAGCCCGGGCCGAGCGTGCTGTTGCCAAGGGAACGAGCGCCCTCCACCAATGTTTCCGGGCTCTCCAGCCCTCTCCGGCCCTAGCCATGGCTCAGGAGACTGAAAACCAGGACCCCATCGGAACCATCTTAATCCAGGTGGGAACTGGGCCCCTCCTGGCCCGGCCCGGCCCGGCCCAGCTAACACACTGCCCAGCGAGCCCGGCGGCGCAGATCCACTCGCACCCACCCACTGAGAGTGCTACCCCCAGATTGCCCCCGGGGAGCTCTCAAACTCGCCAACCCAGACCTCGCTCGTAAGCGTAGTTCACCTCTGGGTGTCTCTGGTAAAAACTCCCAGACCGCGGAACCTTTACTTCGGTGAAAGCCACCTCACCCCGAGGCACCATTTTAAAATGTATTGTTCTGAGAAATTTGAATCCATGATGTAGGGGGTTGGGGACGACACAAATCAAACGCATTTCAGGAGTAATAAGAAATTTAGGGGAGAAATTGAGATATGTGAACTGCTTTTCTTAAGCACCCAAATTTGGGGGATCTAGAAGTCCCTTGCTAATAAGTCCTAGGGATGTAATGAATATAGCCTGGTAACTATAGTAAATAACATTGTATTGTAATATTTGAAAGTTGCTAAGAGAGTAAATCTTAAAAGTTCTCATCACAAGAAAAAATTATAACTGCCGATGAATGTGACCAATTGTGATCATTTTACAATATATACAAATATCACATCTTTATGGCGTAAACCCGAAACTAATATAATGTTATATGTCAATTATATTTTAGTAAAATAAAAGTCCCTTGCTTGGGGATGCACACCTAGAAAAATATATTTAAAATAACAGCAAATCAAGTTAAAGTTTTTAATATAAAATGTGACAAGTTTAAAAACTCAGGTGAATAATTATTTCTGAAGGGGTAAATATCAAGAAAGCCTTAACTTCTCCAAGTATAACTCAGTTTGTGATACCTTCAGATTTTTCTGAACAGGTAAAAGAACATTTACACATTATAGTTCTAAAATGTTTTCCACATATATCATCACTTTTAACTCTTATATTTACTTCCATTTGACTAACTTTAGTAACTTTCCTAAGGTCACTATTAGGACTCTCATTCAGATCTGCAATGGGTCTAATTTTTCTTCTTGCCAGGATTTTTATCTCTTAGCTCCTATCTAGGAAAGACCTCTGTCTTTCCAAAATACAAACCCCTAAACTTAACAGTTTCATAGACTTCTCCATTATGAATCATACCCAAATCTTCTTACCGCACCTCTTACTACCCTTTTATTCATCACCACCTAGAATGAGTTTAGCCAAACTGCAAAGTCTGTGGGAATCGTCTCCACAAGACTGCCCTCACTTCTACATGAGCCTCAAGTTCAGGAGTCCCCAGAACTACCCTCACTTCAGACCAGCTGTCTATAATTTGGGAGGCCTGACCACCCTCACATTGGCTAATTTCCTAGAATAATTCACAGGTGCTATGTTTACAATTACAGCGTTATGATAAGGTAAAGATACAACTAAAAATCAGCCAAGGGAAGAGATGCATAAGGCAGCGTCCAAGAGGGGTCCAAATAGAGGGTCCAGTCATCCTCTCTCTATGGAATCGGACAGCATTACCTCCTCCCGGCCTCAGTGTATGACAGTGTGCAGAGTATTGTCAACTAGGGAAGCTTACCGGATGGAGACTTTGGTATCTAGAGTTTTTATTGGAGATCAGTCTCACACTGACCTACATGACTGACCTTTCCTCTCCAGCCCTTCCCAGAGATCAGACTTTTAGTCTTCAGTTCCTAACGTTTGGAACTGATACAGTGTGGTTCAAAGCCCCATCACAAACCCCACTGTTAGACTCTAGGGTGGTCAAAGCCTCCAAAGCAAAGACATTCCTATCAAGCAGGAAACATTATGGGCCTACAGATCACCTCCCACTGTCTAAGGGAAAAGCCAGACTTCTCTTTAGTTGAGGTGAATTATTCACTACACATCCCCGCTTCCAAATCCAGAGCCCATTTTCACAGACTCCAAACAATCAGAACACTAATGGAGACTCTTTCTTAGAAAAAGCCAGTTCGTCCCAACAGTATACTTCATTTGACTACAGGGGCCATTAAGTTTCTCTATAGTTCCCCCTACTTCTCCAGACCTGAGACAACTCTAAAAAAAGAGACCAGAATCCAGGAAGAATTCTCATGCCCGTAGTGGTTTGGAAGAGTGTAGAATAAGATACTGACTGAAAAGCAGAAGTCTTTTCATTTCGGAGTGAGATCCAGAGGTAGCTGTTTGGTCAGTCCAGGATACAACATTATAGTTTCTGTGTCCGTTGTCATCAAATTGTAAAATGGAACAAGAGTTAAGAACAGTCATATCCATGCTGATCAGCCCCTCCATCTGCGTAAAGGGGTTATTCTGGACACACTGTGTAGAGAAACAGGGCCTACATTTTAACCTGGTTGCTGAGGCTGATCTCTAGACACGTACAATGTAAAATTCTCCCTAGTAATGTGTAGCATACGTGTAATGAGGAAAATGTGGAAGACCTTTCCTGTTTTCCCACTGAGTCCTGCGTATTTGTGAGCATACAGCACCACTCTCAGACATGCCACATGGATTTCATTTCTCCCTGGGGCTGTGGTTTCTTTCCTTCAAACAGACTGCCAATAAACAGTGCTGGAAAGAACACTTGGTTGGGAGGCAGAATCCTAAGGTCTGATATAGGCATGACATTCTTCCAGGTGGGCAACTTTGGGCCAGTCGCGTCACTTCTCGGGTCTCAGTTTTCTCTCCTATACAATACATAGCTTAGATTAGATATGCCTCTAAATAAATCGACTCAATTTCCCCAAAGCTACATAATTTCTTTTCATTGTAAAATCCACATACACACACACACACACACACACGCCCACACATACATACAGGGTTGGGCAAAAGTACGTTTACACTTGTGACTACACAAAACAGTTTATTCTTGTATTATTTATTAATTCTTGTATTATATTTAACTTACTTTTGCCCACTTCTGTATGTAATATATGTATATATTATGTATTATATGATATATACATATATACATATTATATATGGTATATATACCAGAACAACAGTTACTTCAGATTTCCACTTGCTTCACCCTGATGTGGTATATTTGGTCTGTGTCTCAATCAGATACATTAAGCAACTCTTTGGACCAGTGGTTCTTAAAGTGTGGTCCCAGGACCAGCATTAACAGCACCAGCTGGGAACTTGTAAGAAATGCAGATTTTCAGAACCCTTTCCAGATCTACTAATCAGAAGCACTGGGGGTGGAGCCTAGTGATCTGTTTTGTTTGTTTGCTTTTTGTTAATCCTCATCCAAGGATATTTTTTCCATTGATTTTTTTTTTTTTTTTTTTAGAGAGAGAGTGGAATGGAAGGAAGGAGGGCAACAGAAAGTGTGAGAGAGAAACATTGCCTCCCACATGCACTCCAAACAGGGGTTGGGGAGGAGCCTGCAACCCAGGTACTGCCCTTGACTGGGGAGCAGACCAGTGCTCTAACCATTGAGCATACCAGCCAGGGCATGACCTGTGCTTTACAAGCCTTTCAGACAACTCTGATACATGCTCAAGATTGAGAGCTACTACTCAAGATTGAGAGCTACTATTTAGATCATATTGCAAACATAAACTCTAATACTATTTTCAAGAAAAATCACAATCATCAAAGCTAACATAGTATTTACCAGGTATATCATGCATGGTGCTAAGTGCTATATAAATTTTAACTCATTTAACCTGTACAACAAGACTACCAGAGAATTATTATGATTATTTCACGTTATAGAAAAGAAACTGACCAAAGATGAGTCCTGTGAGTTGACCCATATACATGGAAAATGCAAGCAATCTCCTCAAGCCTTTTCAATCCAACCCTGGCATAAAAAGAGAGTCTTCCTTTGGCCCTTTTTGCTCCTCTAGATATTTAAACCCTGCCCTTTTACTGAATTTTCACCAACCTCTAGCTGTATATATTTAAAACATACATTTGCATATTGGTAGATATTCTACATGCACTGGTTAATGGTTAGGCTTCTCTGTGAATGGAGCTGTACTAACATTGACTATTAGAGGCCCAGTGCATGAATTCTTGCACCAGTGGAGTCCCTCAGCCTGGCCTGCAGGATCAAGCTGAAACCAGCTCTCCAACATCCCCCCAGGGGTTCCTGGATTGCAAGACAGTGCAGGCCAGGCCGAAGGACCCCACCGCTGCACGATCAGGGCCAGGGAAGGACGCAGAGGTTGGCCAACTATGGAGGGACCACGGGAGGGCTCCAGGGCATGTTTGGCCAGTTTTGATCAGTCCCAATCGGCCTGACCCCAGCAGCAAGCTAACCTATCAGTCTGAGCATCTGCCCCCTGGTGGCCAGTGCATGTCACAGTGAGTGGTTAAGCAGTCTTAGCATGTCATTAGCATATTATGCTTTGATTGGTTGAACGATGACCGGACGACCAGACACTTAGCATATTAGGTTTTTATTATACTAGTATACTAGTGGCCTGATGCACGAAATTTGTACAAGAGTAGGCCTTCCTTCCCCCTGCTGCTGGCACTGGCACCCAGGACCCGGGCTTTGCTCCAGCCCCAGCTTTGTCCAGAAGGACGTCCGGAATAGCATCCAGTCTAATTAGTATGTTACCCTTTTATTATTATAGACTAGAGGCCCAGTGCACAACATTTGTGCACTGGGGGAGAGGATCTCTCAGCCTGGTCTGCGCCCTCTCGCAGTCTGGGACCCCTCAGGGATCAGGCCTAAGCCAGCAGTCAGACATCCCTCTCGCATTCGGGGCTCTCAGTCTGGAACCCCTCACTCCTTACTGCCCTCCTGCAGCAGAGGCAAGAGAGGCTCCCACCACCACTGCTGTGCTCGCCAGCCATGAGCCCGGCTTCTGACTGACTGGTGCTCCCCCTATGAGAGTGCACTGACCACCAGGGGGCAGCTCCTGCATTGAGCATCTGACTGCTGGTGGTCAGTGTGCATCATAAACCAATCATTCTGCCATTTGGTTGACTTGCATATTAGTCTTTTATTATATAGGAGGATTATTTAGTCTGGATTCAGACTGCCTGGATTTGAACAGTTCCACCAGTTAGCCAGCTGTGGTACCTTGCACAGGTTACTTAACCACTTTAAATCTCACATTCCCTTAAATATACAATGAAGATAATATGAACTCCCTCTTAGGAGCCTTGGAGGATTAAAATATAGAATAACATAAAGTACAACACTCAATAGATGGCAGTTATGATTAGGTCTCTTACCATGTAATATTACTTAGCTTTGTGTACATTTCTGTGTCTTTTTAAGATTAGCTTGTTCTCTAAATTGCTGGAAAAAGAAAAAAAGTTAATTTTAGCTTGTCTTTTTAGCTAGGAATACTTTATTCTTAATGAGAACTTTAAGGGTATTGCAATTTGGCAAACAAGGTATGCCTTATTTCCCTGTTACAACTGATTTTTGCGGGTATCCCATTTTACCTAATACAGGATTGGTCCGTCAATCATGGATGACTGGATACAAATCTACTCATTAATTCAGTCTCCAATAATTTATGTTCTGTTCAAAAGTGAATGTGCCGGGGTTCTTGTTCCAGCATCTAGAAGGGTTCAGCAATCTGGAGAAGGGCTGTGTGTAACTTAATAAAGAGTCCAGAGACGAAGCATAATTTTGAAAGGCATTATAGGAAGTCAGAGGAGCCTAGCTAAAGGAAGTAAGATCTGCTCATCTCAGGACCCCATGCCTTTATTAACACAAATTGTCCTGAGGCGAGGCAGAGATATACACTTCAAAGGGTCAGGTTTCTATACACAGTCCATTGTCAGATTATCAGGTTTTGGAGAAACTGCCTTCGGCTGTTCAGGTGTTTGGCCAGTAGGAGGCAATAATATGTAGATTAAGATGCCCTGAGCTGTCTGGCAGCAAGCAATCAATTTAATGCATCCTTTTCAGGTTTGGGGAAATGCCATTGCCACTCCAGATGATTCAGCCCTTGCTGAAATGTTGGAATTGGTTCCCGGCAGAATGGAGCTGGACTAACATTGATTATTATTTAGTAAACATAATAATTGGTACAAATTTATAGTAAAAGTAATATGTTGATAAAATATCTAAAATACTTAAGAGAAGATCTTTAAATACAATTAATCAGTGCCCTAATTATAAACTCCATGCAACTTATTATGTGAGCATGTGCTTAGATGTTTAGATTTTCCAGCACAGTCCTGATCGTGAATATTCCATCCCATTGTCAGATCATATATTAAAGTCCATGTTTTCCTTTTCGGTTCAGAAAATATGATTATTATTTCTACATAGAGTTCTACTAGAAAGCATTTTGTTAACTAAATTCTTTCACTTCAAAATGCTTATTTTAACTAAATTTTTTCACTTTTGAGTCTAAATGCAGGCTGTTTACAATTTTAGCTGAATCTTTCCTCAACTAATCAGAATAGTGAGGCTTTTATCATAGCCATAATAATCATCATTACAATGAAAATAGTAGCCAACATTTATTGAGAGTCAGACACTGTACTGAGAGCTTGAGATTTTCTCAAGTCCTAACAATAACTCTGTTAGGAAGGTGTTATTTTTATCCCAATATACAGTAGAAGAAACTAATGTACAATGAGATAAAGCAACTTGCCCAAGCGATAAATCTTAAGCAGGTGATGGCACGTTTGTGAAACCATCTTGAAAAAGTGTGGTGGTAACTCCGAAAGCTTCCTAGATGCTTGCTTTCACTAGTAACTCTTAGAAGCTCTCTTTGTATGCTTTATTAACAATAATGTGGTACCTTTTAAATACAGTGGGGCCTTGACTTACGAGTTTAATTCGTTCTGAGACTGAGCTCGTTAAGGAGCTCATTAACTCAAATTACTCTATCAACTCAATGCAAAAAAATCAGCCGAGAGACAGCTGGTATCTCAAAAAACTCATTAGTCAGGACACTCATAAGTCAAGGTCCCACTGTACCTTTATAAATGCTTGCTTGGCCCAAATATTAAACATATGTTTGTGCAACAAGGATTACCTAGTCTTGCTATCTAAATTATCTTTTCAGTTAGTTTTGGAAATTGTATTTCTTTTTCTTTTTTTTTTAACATTTTTATTGATTTCAGAGAGGAAGGGAGAGGGAGAAAGAGAGAGAGAAACATCAATGATGAGAAAGAATCATTGTTGGGCTGCTTCCTACACGCCCCCTATTGGGGATTGAGCCCACAAACCAGGCATGTGCCCTGACTGGGAATCAAACCATGATCTTCTGGTTAATAGGTCGATGCTCAACCACTGAGCCACACCGGCCAGGCTAGAAATCTTATTTCTAAAATGCAACAGTTGTGTGTTAACATCGACCTTGGAAACATTGGAGTTAATTGACATTGATATTATCTCTGTCTTTCTTACCAATCCTTCTGTCTGGTTTGTCAGAAGCGTACAACATAAATGTGATGAGAATGACTCCGCCTAACTCTATCTTTAGCAGAGATGAGTAAAATGGTAATTATGAGATAGATTGCTTTTGACAATGTGGAGTCTGGCTGCATGGCTCTTTTAAATTCCAGAGCAAATCTTTACTGCATTAAATATTTCAAGGCCTTCTTATTAAGCAGCCCTATCCCCAAACTATCAAAATAATAATTTCCTCCAAGTAGATTTCAAAATGTATGGGAAGATGGGAGTTATCTATAATACTCTCAATGATAAAAATATATTAAATAAATAAAAATGTATGGAAAGCAATGGGTCTGATGATCACAGAGATGATGGGTGACATGTAAAATTTCAATAAGGTAGATTGGATCTATTTGAAGGAAGAACAGAGATTTAGAACTTAATCTCTTTTCCTACCCAAGTGTGGTGAAAGATTTTGTACAGTACTTGTCTCTAAAGCAATTATACAGATGTGCGGTCATTAAGCGGGGAGAAGAAACTATCTGGCAAGAAAGGTAAAGTGAAAGCTCTTGAGAAAGATTAAGAGAGCAGTTCAAATCAGTGAACATTTACTAGGTGCCAGTTATGTGCAAGGAGTTTCACTAGGTTTCACAGGAGAGGAGAGGAGCATTTGTTCAGTGCTCTCCTATGCGGCTGGCCCTACACAAAGCACTTGACACACTTGAACTCATCTTATTCTTACACTATTCTGAAAGGTAGTTATTTACCTCCCATTTTATAGACGAGAACACTAAGGCTCTAAAAAGCTAGGTGAATTTGCCAAGCTCGGTTTAGTAAAGGAAGAAGTAGATTCTAGTTTACGTCTGTTTCCAAAGCCCATATTCACTCATTGTCACACACATTGCTTCCTTTTCACTCAGCAATTCTGTGAAGTAGAAGCATTCTTTTTTTTTTCTTGGTGAAGAAGCTAGAGAATATGTGGGTGATGTACATGGACATCATGTGACCAGTGAGAGAACAAGGAATTACGTTCATCTGCCTTTTACTGATTCTTACTATGTACCAGACCTATACATATCTCACGACTCTATGAAGAGAGTAATTGTCCACACAAGGCAGATGAAGAAGTCAGACCTTCGGTTTCCTGCTAGTAATCCAGGACAGTTTTCACTCTCTCCAGCAGTTGCCAGGCACAATTACAGAATGACACATGAAGGCACACATATGAGAACTACAAGAAGGAAATTCAGGCGCTCAGAGGGGTCTGGAAGTGAGGTTTGCCCTTGAACCACTTCTTGGTACTGTCCAAATGTCTTTAGGCAATAGGTGGCAGATCAGCTTGCAGCAGTAATGTGGACAAAACAAGTACAAGAAGTACCTCTTCATCCTCAGAGCCTCCGAGCAAGCAGTAGGTGTGTTTATATTCAATCTGTGAGCCCTGAAGGCTGTACATGACAGTTTGTGCAGAGTACCAAGTGACCAGATGTGCCTGCCAGACTGTGATGCCCGTCAGTGAAAAGATGCAGATTCTGATCTTTTGAATACTTGGCTCAGTGGGAATATTCTAAGAGTAATCGATGACATCAGCTGGATCAATGAGTAAGTCCAGATAGATGAACAGAGAAAGGTAACTGTTTCAAAATGCCTTTAGCAACCCAGTCTGCAGATTGTTATTGGTGGGACTGTTGGTGAGACAGGTGTTGGGTTCATACATTTGCATAGCAAAATGTTTTTCTTGTGGCAGCAGCCCATATAATAATTGGTGCCATCTGTATTTATCTGTTGAAGTTTGATTTCTAATATGAATTCAGAGAATCTGGTGCTAATTTCACAATGTCTATTTCATTCTGAGGGTGCGTGACATTGGAGAGAGAGTCATCATTTCAAAGGAAAATAAAAATTGAAGGGAAATGTTAAAGTAGTAACAGATGTAGCTTTTGCCTCATGGATCATTTTCATTTCTGACCACATAAAACAAAGTCAGGGCCACACACCTGTCCTACAGAACTGGTTCTTCAGAACAGTTAGTGGGAAGACCCAGCTAGACAGGAAAGCCAACAGGCCCTGGCAACATATTTGCAATTCTCTTTTGAAAGACACAGCTCTCCCTAGAACTGGGGATCAAACCCACAACCTAGGTATGTTCCCTGACTGGGAATCAAACCAGCAACCTTTCAGTGCACAAGATGGTGCTCAACCAACTGAGCCACAAAATGTTCTCTTTTCTTACCTTTTAACCAATTAGTAGAAATCGGAGTTTGGCATAAACTTCTTATGGTCCCTGATTCAATTGCTTTACCATCTGAAAAAGCAGAAACCATTTGTGTTGCAGATTTAGTTTGGATTTGTTTCTAAGGGGGAAAGGAAAAACAGACAATTGTATAAAAACTTAGTTTTTCAAGATCTAAGACAATAATGGAACGTTCTAACAAAAACTGTCTTAAAACCACAAGACAGTCCTTTTCAATGAACACTGTAAAATCAACCTTACTATCTCTAGCAAATACAGCACAAATTGCAAACATTTAAAATAAATGTTCTAGATGGACTATGTATGTATACTTTTACTATTTCATATTTTTACACCTACAGGTCCATGATGACCTTCAGCAATTAAAGGAGAAATTAGCCGACTTCCCATCTGAAGAAGGAGAGACCCTAGACATTCAGAATCTTAAAACAGCAATCAAAAGGACTGAAATGGGGTTAAGAGTAAGTAGAACTTTCAATATTAAATAAAATACCAGAGGAAACAAAGATGCCTCAGAAAAGAATTGTGGTTCTCACAGGACTCTGTGAGATCCTATAACAGAGAGGGATTTAGGGTGATCATCAGCTTGTTCTCATCCCTTTTTTAAATGGTAATGATGTTTAACTGATTGATTCACATCCTGTCACATCCCACAAAGAATTTAAGGTATTGATATTGTCAGATTATGCAATGATAACTTCTAAAATGTGCTTTGAAAAAAAGAATTTTAAAAATAACCACTATTAGTCCAACAATATGTCTTTTTTTTCATCTCCCCTGGTGCCCAGAACATTTGGTAGTGCCCCAGGGGCTCCAGAAAAAGGGAAGTTCCAAGTGACCCAGACATTTCAAAGGGTATGCTATCTTAGAGGCAAAAAGGCAAATGGGCTCAGTAAGGATCAAAGTTGATCTTGTCAGTGAAGATACTGGCCTAGGACATAACTGCCCACCATCACTGCTTTTAGTTAAGGTTTAATTTCAGACCATCCTTTGTGGTTATTTTAGGTCTCTGAGTCTGCTAGGCTGCCACGCAGGCCTTCCCTGAGCTTGTCAGGTCAGCGTGTGGCCCCTTTCGTCCACATGACCAAAAGGGATTCATGCCAAGACATAATAGAGAGTTTCTATCAGATTCACTCAAGAAATAAGAGTTGACTTTCCCTAATAGCTTAAGAATTTTGAGAATAGTCATTTTTAAAAATATAGTAACCTAATGGGTAAAACCAAAGAAATATACCAATTTTGAAACAGAAATAAAGTAAATCAGGACTTCATAATTATAGACCAGTGATCTTCAATCTTTTTCATTTCATGGCCCAGACATAAACTAATTACTAAATTTCTGCAGCACGCCAAAAATATATTTTTTTGCTGATCTGACACAAAAGGTGCCATTTTTATTCATTCACACAGAATGACTATTGTTGTGTTGACTGTTGTCATTGTTTAATTTGACAAGCTCAGGGAAAAGAGGTCAGTGCCCCTGACGAAATAGTCAGATAGGACATGTTTTAAAAGTTATTGCCGCACACAGGCTGAAAATCACTGTTTTAGACAGATCTTAGGGCGGGGAGAATCCAATCTTCAGACAAGAATAATATGCAATTGCCAAACAAGGATGTATCTCCAAGGGAAACAAAAACACTAACTTAAAAGCTATTTGTATCCCCTACATTTACTGCAGTATTATTTACAATATTCAAGACATGATAGCAACCTAACTGTTCATTGATAAAGAGAAATATATATATACATATTCACAATGGAATATTTCTCAGTCATAAAAAAAGAAATCTTTCCATTTGAGACAACTTGGGTAGACGTCAAGGACATTATGCTAAGTGAAAGCAGCCAGATCACCCCCACCCCCCCGACACAAATTGATGATATGAATTCTCTAGAAAAGCAAATCCATTGAGAGAGAAAAGAGATTGGTGGTTTCAAGGAAGGAAAATACTGTATAATCTTACTTATATGTGGAATCTAACACTTCACCCCACTCCCCCCAAGAACATCTGATACAGAAAACAGATTGCTGGTTGCTGGAAGTGGGGGTTGGTAAAATGGGTAAAGGTGGTCAAAAGTACAAATTCCAGTTGTAAAAAAAAAATAAGTTCTTTGGTTTTACCCATTAGGTTACTATATTTTTAAAAATGACTTCTCAAAATTCTTAAGCTGTTAGGGAAAGTCAACTCTTATTTCTCGAGTGAATCTGATAGAAACTCTCTATGATGTCTTGGCATGAATCCCTTTTGGATTTAATGTTCAACAGGATGATTATATTTAAAAATACTATACTGTATATTTGAAACTTGCTAAGAGATTACATCTTAAAAGATCTTAAAAGAAAAATATTTGTGACCAGACTTATTGTGGGGATCATTTCACAATACATATAATTACCGAATCATTGTAGTATACACCTGAAATGAATATAACGTTATATTTCAATTTCTTTAAAACTAAAAACAAAATAAAATACAGCCAGGATGTAGGAGTCCATGGATCCAAACAAGGACCATATCTCCATCTTCTAGCTCTCTGTCAGTACCCTTGCTCTTGCCTCAGACTTTCATGCTACCATATTCTGAGCTTCATCTGTCAGCTCCTGAGGCTGTGAGATGCGTGCTTGATTGTGTAGCCTCAGCAAACTAGCACACATTGTCCTATTTGCCCGGTGGTGAGAGGGCTGGACTCAGCTGGAGCCTTTGGGCTGGCCATTTTCAATGTCACCTGAAGGCCAAATTCTTTCCTCGGTGCTTGCTTGACGTCCTGAAAGAAAAAGACGTTACTCCATATCTGCATTGCCTAGTAAATTTACCTGGCTAAGCAATTTACTGACTATTGTGGATAGTTTCACTTGTGAAGAGTGCTACAGGTCACTCAAGCTTTGAGTCTCAGTGCTTTTTGGGATAAAGTAATTTGGCCTTGAGGTGCCTAATTATACCTTAGGCATGTAATAAACACATAGCATGTTGTGTCTTTTGGCTTAATTACACAATTCAGAGTGTTAACCTAATGAAATGAAGTAAATTAACTGAGTGTCTTAAGTCCACTATAATGGCCTAAACTTTTAACTTTTCTGTAACAGATTCACATTGAGAAGTATTTAAATGTTGTAAACCATCAAGTGTTAACGACTCCCATTAGTGAGAATAAGTTATTTTCTCCCCACACTTCCCAATGGTAAGTAAAATAGATATTTATGGATCCAAATAAGTACAAAAAAGTAACTTTTCTCACTCAGATGAAATGACTGTAAAGACAAAATTTTATTTGGCTTTTTTGATATCCTAATTTCAGTAGAAGTTTTGCACAAAAAGTCAATGGAAAAGATTATGTTTTGCAAATATTGTATAAAGGATGCTTATTATATGAAAAAAGTTAATGGCACAATTTGGACTTGAATACAGTTTATTCTTGATTACATTTATTGAGTTCTCATGCTTGACACCATATCAGTGATTTTAGGGTCATATTTTGGTGTAATTCCTTTTTATCTTTTTAGTAAAATGTGCCCAAAATTTAATTCCTGAAGGAAAATTTTTGTTTGTTTTTTGTTAATCCACTCCCAAGGATATTTTTCCCATTGATTTTTAGAGAGTAGAAAGGAGGGAGGAGGGAGAGAGAGAAACAGCAATGTGAGAGAGACACATCAATTGGTTGCCAGGCTGGCGAATGAACCTGCAACTCAGGTAGCACCCTTGACTGGGAATTGAACCCGTGACCCTTCGGTGTGCGGGCCGATGCTCTACCATTGAGCCACATGGGCTAGGGCTAAAGGAAATGTTTTAATGCAAATCAGTTTTTATGCTATTTGGATTGCATGGCTCTTTCTTTACAGTTTTTAGCATATGTGCTTTATTGTAAAGATGATTTTGGAGTCGGGGGTAAAAAAATAAATAAAATAAAATTTGCTTGAAATATTCATTATGTAAATACATCCTAAGAGATGATTTATTAAAATTAGAATTGAGTTAAAAAGAAATGACCTTTCCTCACCTTGGGCCTCCTTATACATCTGCCTCCTCAATTTCTTTGTAAATTAAGGTTTTGTACTCAGCTTAAAACCTCTGTGGCCCATATTTGCATGGTAAATAAGTCCAAGGTTAAGGTCTATAAGCTCTGAGAAACTGTGACTTTAGTAAAACATGTGCAATGAAATCAATATTACCATTGATATAAAGAAGAGTTAAGTTCCTACAGCATATTTCTGGTCACACAAAAAAATCACCAAACTTCTAAATAAAGACCCAAACACTGCTAGTACTGAACACAGAAATACATGTGAGCTATACACATATTTAAGGATGATTAATGAAAACAAGTAAGGCGATTATTGTTGTATTTGTTCATTCCAGTTCAAGGGTGCAGGGCCAGAGTCTATCTGGGCAACTGAGGGCTCTAGGCAGGACACACCCCAGACAGGACATCCTTCCTTCACAGGGCCATTCACACTCACACTCACTTAGACTGGGGCATTTTAGAAATGCAAATTCACTTAAC